TTAGAGTTGTGAACTCTGCAGAAATCAGAAGACTTAACTAGTGTTACATGGCTAGTAATCCCCAAGGTCTGATGCAACTCAAATCTCTGGAATCTCAGTCGAGTGTTCAATTTATTTCCTCTCAAGTGCCAATATAAACTGACTAAACTGATCATGAAACAACAAAGGCAGAATTGCACACACTGAAATAGTAAGTATGTGTTACATTAAAAATAAATAAATAAATAAAAAGCAATGCTACCATTTTAACACTCACTGAAAAAAAAAAAGCCCAAGTCTTTGAGAAGTATTACAGAATTAGTATTTTTAAAGTACGGTGTGTTGTGAAAGAAAGTTTAAGTTAACTGCTCATGTAAGAAACATTTATCTGGGTGGAGGTTATGCTTGACTTAGACAGGTTTTCAGCCTGAAGGTTGTAATAGATGAGTGATTCTCTTAACCTTAATCTATTTTTCATACGGTGCGATGACAGTCATCAAATGAAATCATTTTTAAGCTTCCCAGAACTGTGGAAAAACTAAGCTAATCTTACTTTCATAACCTTTTTAAAGGGCAAAATTTTACTTTTACTTGTAAAATAATTTTTAAAAGGAGCTACTACTCTCAACAAATCCAACTATTAAAAGTTTCACAAGGACAAAAAAGACCCACCGCTGGTGGATGCAAATTTATTATATTTTTTGTTCTGGTTACAGTTAAGCCTCCTGATTTTGGAAACATGATTATTATTTTACTGAATTTTAAAATTTAAAAAAACTGAACATAATGCCAAATTGAGCCTGATTTTCTTTACATAATATTTTAAATAAATGTAAAAGAATGTTTTAGGTATCTTTAGGGTTCAGAACTCAAAGAACCACTGAGGATTCAAAGAAACCAGAAAGAAGCCAGCCAGCTACTGTGTGGCTAAGGAGTGATGCTTACTCCAAAGCCTACTCTTGTTCTTCCTCACCAGTGCTTCTCAAACCGTTCAACCAAAGCATGTGAACAATAGAGGAGAATGGATTCTATCTGAGGGAACAAGACTGAGTCCATAGCTTTGAGTTTTCATTCAAATTTCACATTCAACTTCATGCTATTCTTATGTCTGTTTTAATATAAAGAAATGTGCTTTGAAATGCACATTTCTTTATACTAAACCTGCAGCACTTTCTACCCCTCCTCTGCTTTATTTTTCTCTGGCTTTTTCATATAGGTACTTATTGCTTCCACAAAATCATATTTTTCACTTATCTTCTTTGATTGTTGTCTGCTCCCTCCCCTTGTGAGGGTTATTCTGTTCACTGCTGCACACCAGCACCAAGAACAAGACCTGGCACTTGTCAGGACTCAATAAATCCATGCAGAATGAATGATGAAATGTTCTAGATGAGGATACATGCAATCCAACTGTCCTGGAAGGGGCTCCTTCTTTACTCTGTGGTTCAGAGACACACTTCCTCATCCTCAGTGGCAAGGGCTCCAGTTTTGGAAGAAAAAATCTGTTACATTTAAGGAACGTGGGGGAAAGAAGCGGCAATGACTCCTCCCCACCGCTTGGCATCACGAGATATTTCTTGACTTCTAAGTCCATGTCATGCATACAGTATGTCATGTGCCCATATCATGAGATCTTTTCTTGATTCCTGATGAATTAGGTAATTTCATTTTTTATTTTCGCTAAGTGTCCTGATTTAATGAGGGTGGTCTTCAGTGGCCTGCACTTGCCTAGACAATGCTGCTCTCCCTGCCTGAACAGATCCTTCTCATTCGTCAAAGCCCAGCTTAGGTGAAACCTCTTTTGTGACATTAGCCTTCATTTAATGGTTTGAAAACCAAGGCCAGCTCTCCCTCCCCCACCACCCGCACCCCGCCACCCCCATTCAGAGGCAGCCTCTCCAGCTCTGTGGGGCCAGGGAATGGATGTGTATGAGATCTATTGAAATGGCCTAAGAGAAACAAAAGCTGATTTCAAAGCATATATAGCATTTTTGGAAGAATGTATTATAGCGTATCATCTTCCACTAAGTCACAAATGCCAATCACCAATTCGTTTAACTCTGCATTTCCTCCAAGTTCTCAGGAAAATATTTACTTTCTTTCATCTATAGCAATTCAAGACACAAAAAGCTATATCCTTGGCCTCACCACGGTCCTTTGACAAGAAGTCATTGGTCTTTAAAAGCACATTTTGCTAGTTACTGACATTACTCAGCTTACTTAAGAGAGCTACCTTGCTATTCTCTGAAAGTATCCCAAGTCATCTTGTTTTACCTACCACCACAATGTTTACTATGATAAGCCCTCATATAAACCCTAGCTTGTACCAGGCACTCTTGTAAGCTAATTGTATTTATTAACTCATTAATCTGCAAAATAACTTTATTGCTATGATCCCCATTTCACAGATGAGGAAATAGGCACAGAAAGAGGATGAGTAGAAGCACACAGCTGGTAAGTTTCAGAGCCAGGATTCGGACCCAGGTGTTCCTGAGACCATTTGCCTAACTACTAGCCAGCTTGCCTCACACCTTTGTCCTCCTCTACCTCCTCCATACTTGTCTGCCCACCCCTTACCCCTGATCTTTCCTTTTCATGGTCAGAGAAAGACCCTGCTGCCTCACTCTAAAATCATCTCCCAAATCAACGAAGCTAAATTTCTTCCAATGAGGACGGAACCACCGTAATGATCTTTCTTCATTCTTTGCAAACTCTCGCTGATACTGATTATTCGCTTCTTGGCTGGCCCCTGCTAGTCCATGCTTTGATCAGACACACCCATCTCTTAATGTTCTTTTGTCTTCTTTCTGAATTCCTGAACAGGATATTTACAAATAAGAAGTCCAACAAGAAAATGGTGTGATGTGAATGGGGTTTTGGAAACATAAATCTTGTGATGATGTCTGAGGAGGGAAGGGGAAGGTGTGTGGGTGAGAAAATGGGTGATTGGAACCATTAGAAACTTTCACTTTTGAAGTCACAAAATTCTGTTAAGAGCTTTGGGAATGGAAAGGAAGGGCTGGATTCAAAATGCATTTTAAAAAGAACAATGGGTTGGACTTGTGGGCAACTAACTGCCTCTAGAGATAAGGTAGAGAAGGGAGTTAAAATGATGCCGCTATTTTGGGCCCAAATGATTTATAATGAAAGTGTCAGCACCTGAAATAGGTATATCAGGAAGCTAATCTGATTCAGGGAGAACAAAAAGTTCATTTTAGAATCTTTGTCATCATCCCTGTTCAGCAGTTGGAAGACGCCATAAGTGAGCATTTAATGAGCCCCCTTCAAGTGTCTAACAGTGTATATGATGTTAAATGTCCAATAATAATTAGCTGAAGGTGAATACACCTGTTACTCTGGCCCCATGGAGATCCCTACCAGAGTATTTGATGCGTAAGATCCTCCCCAGCCCTCCTCTACAGGGATGGAATTGGGAGTATGATTTGAATGTAAGAAATACGACTTATGGCCAGGTGCGGTGGCTTACACCTGTAATCCCAGCACTTTGGGAGGCCGAGGCCGATGAAGGTCAGGAGTTTGAAACTAGCCCGGCCAACATGGTGAAACCTTGTCTTTACTAAAAATACAAAATTAGCCAGGTGTGGTGGTGGGTGCCTGTAATCCCAGCTACTTGGGAGGACAGGAGAATTGCTTGAACCTGGGAGGTGGAGGTTACAGTGAGCCAAGACCATGCTATTGCACTCCAGCCTGGGCGGAAAGAGCAAAACTTCATCTCGAAATAAATAAATAAACAAAATAGATAAAAATAAGAAATACAACTTTCTACATAGCCTAACCCCAAATAAGAGGAAATATCTTTCCTTTGTCACACCTAAAAATTGTCAGAAAATGGCAAAACTACTCCTATGGCAAACTGCTTATATCCTTGATTTCCAGACTTCGTCTTACGTCCTATTAATTTTTTAAGTAACCAATTCAAACGATCCTGAACCCCTGCCCATTTGTTTCTTCAAAGGCCTGAACAATGCCAGAAGAGAGTCTACAAATCAGATAGTGCAAGCAGACAGCTTCTTGGAATTCAGCCCTTATAATAAGGGACTCAAGGTCGAAGAGCAGAAGTAAAAGCTGAAAGACCTAGACACTCAGCACAGAGCCAAGACAGCTCAATCGCAGGGCTAGGGTGGTGCGTTCAAAGAGAGAGACTGGTAGATAATCGCTCATGAAACAGTATTTCGAAAATCTAAGCGACTCTGATGATTCATATTAGGAATTCACCCCAAACCTCGGATTCGTACACCTTCCTAGGTTTCACACAAGCTCAGGAGAAGCTGCCATGCACATCGGTGACCATTAAAATGACTTGTAGCAAATCTCTTCGTTCAAAGTCTAACTTTGAAGAATTCTACCCCCCTCCCTCGGGAGGAAAGAAGGGGCTGCGGTTAAGCGTTTGCCCTGGCGTCACCGCCAACTCTTCGAAGCGCCAGACTTTAGGAGGCTGTGTGAAGGGGAAAAAAATCCAGTCCGGGTTTTGTCTAAGCTGGGGGGGACCGGAGGGCTGTGAGGAATGGCTCACGAGGAGGGGGGCGGTGGTGGAAAACACACAACACAAACAGCTCGCGCCGAGGTGCCGCAGCGGTAGGCCCGGAGCGCGCGGGCGCAGCGGGCCGGGAGAGGCGCGCGCGGGCTCGGCCGCCGGCCGCATGGAGCGCAGCGCGGCCCGCGGCTCCCGGGCTGCGGCGGCTGAGGCGGCGGCGGCGGCGGCGGCGGCGGCGGAGGCGGCAACGCGCCGCTCGCTCACACCCACCCCCGCCCGCGGCCGCCGCGCCGCCCCGCCGTAGCCGCCGGCCGCCGGCGTCCCCGCCGGCCGGTCCAGCGAAGGCGGCGCCCGCCCCTCTGCAGCCAGTGGCAGCTGCGGGTCCGGGCCGGCGGCTCCTAAAACCCCTTTGCGGCCCCGCGCCCCAGGCCCTGCGGCCACAGCGGCCGCCAGCGGAGGCAGAGGAGGAAAAGGAGGTGACAAACTCTCCGGCCCCGCGCCGCGGCCCGCGGCCCCGCGCTCAGGCATGCAGGCGCGGCGTCTAGCCAAGCGCTCCAGCCTGGGCAGCCGCCGGGGGGGCGCCGCGCTGCAGCCTGCCGGGCCCGCGGCCGCGGCCGCCAAGGAAGCCGCTCCGCCCGGGCTCCCGCCCCCTGCCCCGGGCCCGGCCCCGGCGCTCGCCCCGGAGAGCTGGAGGCCGCCGCTGCCACCGCTGCCGCCGCCGCGCAGCGCCGGGACCGGCCCCCCTCGGGCCGCCGCCGCCGCGTCGCCGGTGCTGCTGCTTCTGGGGGAGGAAGACGAGGACGAGGAGGGCGGGAGCAGGCGGCGGAGGGGGCTCGGGCGGGTGGAGGAGAAGCCCCGAGGGGGCGCGGAGGAGGAGGATGACGACGAGGAAGACGAAGACGAGGAGGTGGTCGTCGAGGTGGTGGACGGCGACGACGACGACGAGGACGGCGAGGAGCGTTTCGTGCCCCTCGGATCCGGCCGCGCGGTCCCCAAGGGCCCTGCCCGGGGCGCGTTGAAGGTGCGTGCTGGGCGCGGTGGCGCGCGTGGGAGCCGCCGGCCCGGGGAGGGGGACGGGCCCGGGCCCGGGCTGAGGCGCCTGGCGGAGGCCGGGCAGCGGCTCCTGGGAGGGACCCGGCCGGGAGGGGTGTGTCAGGCGGCGCGGGCGGCCGCACGGGGCAGCGCGGGGAACTGTTGATTTGCCTGCTGCTCGGGCCCCTGCGTCCCTCCCAGCGCGGCCGCTCCCCCTTTCCTCAAAGGCCGGTTCGGGTTTGTTGTCTGGTGTGGGTGCCTGGAAAGGGCGCTCTCCCCAGTGGGGTGGGGAACTTGGGGAACACGGAGGCGCCGGTTCGTGCCTGGTGGGGACGGACGAGATAGGGGAGAGTGAGATTTTATTCTCCCCCAAGGAAAGAGTGTCCCCTCCTCTTTATTTTGATAGTTATTCAAGCTTATCGAAACTAGAAAACGGTGTTTCTCGCCAATCTCTCAGCCCCTTCTTCCATCCAAAAACAGTTGTTGATGAGTTTCCATCACAGGCGCTGGTGAGAGAACCGGTAAACCCAGTACGGCCAAAACCAAGCCCTTGGTTTCCGCATGCATTTTGCTGGCAGTTTTTGGCATTGACCCTCGCCCTCCCGTGTTTCAACTCGGCATCGTTTAGCATTTGAGGTGGTTTTTTTTTCTTCTTCTTCTTCAAAATTGCAAATGAGAAAAAAAGAGGAAATCAGGAAAATGAGGTGGGGGGATGGCATTTAAAATGGGTGTGAGTTTCTGCTGAGAATTCTGGCGAAGTCCCTGTGCACTGAAGCGCCGAGAGATTTTTCCGTTTGTGTATCTTCAGGAGATAAGGGGTTTATTATTACACAACTGACTGGTTGGGCTTTCAGGCATGCGATTGGGCAAAGCAAACCACGTTGAGGTTCATGCACGGTGTATGTTGCTAAGAAGTTTTGAGGGCAGCAAGTGGTAAGCAATGGAGTGAGTGATTTTTCTCAAGAGTGGTTCTTAAAATCAGCGGAATAACTGTTTACCGGAGTTTTCAGAAGGCGTTGGTATTTCAGGAAGAAAAAAATCACGAACAAATGAGCTTAATATTTAGAGAACACTTTAAAAAGCTTTTGGGGCTCACCAAAAAAGCTCCTGAAAGCTTGAAATTGTATTTCCAAAGAAATGTTGAACATCGGCAATTAGAATAGCCCCAGTGTAGACGTGGGTACAGATTTCTTTCCTAGACCACCCTGGAAGTACCAGCTTTTGGAGTGAGAAATTTTCGGCAAGTGGTCATTTGGGAATGATAGTTTTTGACAGCTGCTTGTTGAAATCCAAACCGTGACCACATTCATTACCATGCTCTGTTGAAAAGCCTGCATTGTATGGCTACAGAATATAGCTGGGTTTGAAATGAAGTCACATGGTGTCGGTAACATTGAATAACAAGAGTAGTGACTCCTTAGCATTTTTGTTCAGAAATACTGAAAGTGTGTCTTGTGGTTTGAATAGGAATGCACAATTTATGACAGAAACAATGATTTATTCTCTGTGATGAAAACAAACTAAATATAGGAAACAAATCTATAAATGCAGAATAGAGTGTGATAATTCACTTGATCAATAAAGATTTTTCATATCTCCAAATTTCCTTTAAATTCTCTCGTAATGGGCTTCATTTTATAACAGTTTCACTTGCCCACACTTTTCAGAAATTTACACAGTATGTTGAGTCGTTTGAGGTATAATTTTATCTTTTTGAAATACTAGTTTAAAGGCAGTGTATCTGAAGAGATTTTCTAATGCAATATCACAAGATAATTTTATTATAATGCATATAAGAATATTAACATTTTATATATATGCATGCATTCATTTATTCAACAAATATTTATTGAATGCCTACTATGTGCTAGCAGCTATTCTAGAACATAGCAGTGGACACCTTCCTGATGCTCACACCTAGTGAGAGGCATCATAGTAACAAACACACAGATGCAGACATACATACATAAGCAAGCGTAACACTTCAGACTGTGATGCATCCTGTGAAGAAATCATGATATCTTAGACTCTCAGAGGAAAAAGAGAAAGCTGCTGTGGGTAAGATCTCTCTGAGGAGGGGACATTTGACCTGAGATACGAGACATTTTGTATGGGAAGATCTTTCCAGGCAGAGATTGTAGCAGTTGCAAGTCTCAAGGTGGGAAGGAGAAAAGGGTGATTGTGGATGGAACTTAGTGGGTATCAGATATGTCAAGGAGGCTGGCAGGTGCCTGCAGAGAGAGCCTGGTGGGCCCTTTGAAAGGATAGTGAAGTCTTTGAAAAGCTTTGAGCAATAAATTCTTACAAGGTGGTTTATAGTTTTCAAAAGATCAATGCTGTGTGGAGGACAGCAGTGGAGGCAGGGAGGCCAGTTGGGTGGCTGTCACTGCAGCAGACCAAGAGAGGGAAGGGTAGCTTGGAGTTAGAGATTGGCAGGAGTGGGCAAATTCAGAATCTATTATGAGGATCAACCTACAAGAACTTGTGGTTGGGTTGGTTGATGGGCAATGAAGGAAAGGGAGGAATCCAGGATGAGACCATCACGTAAAGGTTGGTTGAAGGTACCATTTACCGAGATTACAAAAACTGAGAGAACAAAAATCAAGTGTTCTGTTTTGTGCATGTGAAGTCTGAGTTGACTGTTGGACAATCAAGTGGAGGGTACGGTTAGGCAGATGGTTGTGAGATGGGGAGCAGATAGGAGAGGTCAAGGATAGTGGGAGGAATTGGCATGACATCAGTATGTTAATGTAAAGCCTGGGGGCTGCAAAGGGAGTGCAGGGGCCCAAGAGAGGAGAGTCTGGGGCCTGATTCTGGAGCACAGCACTATTTAAGTTTGGGCATAAAAGGAGAAGCCAGCAAAGACTATTGAGAAGCAGCAGCCAAATAAGTAGAAGGAAAACTAGAAAATGTAAAGTCCAATAAGCCAAGAGAAGAAATACTTCCAAAAAGTGGGTGGGGAGTAATAAACTGTGTTGAATGCTGCTGAGACGTAGAATGAGAAAGAGACAGAGATGTTCATTTGGATTAGATAATATGGAACTTACTAGGATCCTTGACAGGAGAAGTTTCAGTGATGTGCCTGGAATAGGCTAAGCAGCTGATGAGGGGAGAAAACAGAGGGACATATGAAAAACTCTTGACAAGTTTAGTTGGAAAGGACAACAAAGAGGAGGAAGAATAGCTGCAAGGCCTATGGCCTGGGTTTTTTTTTAAAGATGGGATACAGTAGAGCCTAGTATTATGACTAGAGCATCATGGGAATTATGTGGAAGGGGGAATATTAGTTTTCTATTGTAGTGTAACAAATTGCCACAAATATGTGTGTGTGTGTGTGTGTGTGTGTGTGTACACACACATGGCCTTAAAACAGTTCTTAAGAGTTTCTGTGGGTTTGGAGTCTAGGCTCAGCTTAACTAGGCTTGCCATGAAGAGTCTCACAAAGCTGCAATTAAGGTCTTACATGGGTTGATTTTTCATCTGAAGGCTTGACCAGGGAGTAATTCACCTCTAAGCTTGCTTACGCAGAATGTTGGCAGAATTCATTCCCTTGCATATGTAGGACTGAGGCTCCTAGCTTCTTCCTGGCTGTTGGTTGGAAGCTGTTCTTAGCTTGTAGAGCTCCTCTCCCCCACCCCTTCCCTGCTTTCTGCTGTTCTTTGTCACATAGACTTCCTTAGCTTAGCCTCTTTCTTCATCAAGCTGGCAAGGAGAATCTTAGAGCTTGCCTGCCAGCAAGATGGAGGCTTGTATAATGCAATGTAGTCAGGAGGAATAGGCCAGCATCTTTGCCATATTCCTTTGATTAGAAGTAAGTCACAGGTTCCACCCACAACCTAAGGAGAGGGAATTTTACAAGGTTATGAACACCAGGTGGTGAGGATCATTGAGGGGTCACTTAGGGAGGAACCAAAAATGTAGAGAAAAGGGGGAAAACTGCAGGAGGAAAGTCCTTGGAAAGTCTTAGGGAGGGAACCTGAAACCCAAGTGAAGGGTTGGTCTTTGGGACCCTTCATCCATTAGACTGGAGAGAGTATGGAGAACATGAGTCCAGATGTATATTTCCTATATTTTCTATATTGGATGATGATAAAATGATAGTAGTTTTCTGATGGTTTCTGTTTTTCCCAGAAAACAGAAGGGAAGATCATCAGCTGAGGGTGAGAGAGATTTGAAGTAAGAGCTGAAGGCATTGAGAGCAAATATACCAGGGAGATGAATAGAGTTGCCAGACAGTATCAGCGACCCAACTGAGGTTTGTGATTCCACATTTATAGTTCAAGCAGTCTGTCTGGGTATGTGATTTTCCCAACTTTCTTCCATTGCCTCATGCATAGAGTAATATAATAAAAATAATCCCAGCTAAATTTTTTGAGTACTTACCAGGGCCAACACAAATCCAACTCTATAGTCTCATTTAAATTTCATTCCATATCCATGAGTCAGGCATTATTGTTATCAACTTCATTCTACAGAAGTGACAAGCAACTTATTTAAAGATCAAAAGCTGTTAGGTGTCAGAGCAGGGGTTTGAACCCTGCACAGTCTAACCCAGGTGTCCCCAAACTTTTCACACAGGGGGCCAGTTCACTGTCCCTTAGACCATTGGAGGGCCGCCACATACTGTGCTCCTCTCACTGACCACCAATGAAAGAGGTGCCCCTTCCTGAAGTGTGGAGGGGGGCCGGATAAATGGCCTCAGGGGGGCGCATACGGCCTACAGGCCGTAGTTTGGAGACGCCTGGTCTAACCCCAGAGGTAGCACCCATATGCATTACAGCACATTGCTTCTTGTAGAGAAAGTGGAGAGCTGGATTCAGCAGAGGTGGTGTTTAGCCAAGTGAGTGGGCAGTGAAAAGAAAGAAACAGAATTATTGTTGAGGGAATTGGCAAGTCTATGATGATAAACTGAGTGATGTAAGAAAAGTGAAGACCCTGAGTGAGGGGTGAGTGGGGAGCGGGGGCGAGTGAGAGAAGGTAGAAAAGTCA